GCCAGCTGGAGGTGCAGGTGGCCTCAGAACAGACGGAGCCATTGTTGAACAAGATGCTGGCCAGCGAGCCGGCCCCGGTGAGTGCCGAGACACTGCTCAGCGAGGCTGTGGAGCAGCTGAGGCAGGCCACCCAGGTCCTGCAGGAAATCCGAGATCTGGGAGACCTAAGCCAGGAAGCACCGGGGCTGCGGGAAAAGCGGAAGGAGCTGGTGACCCTCTACAGGAGAAGTGCGCCCTAGGGCCTGCCGGGCCGGGGCACGGTCCCTCCCGGCTGGCCTGGTTCATCGAGCCCAGCCCTGCCAAGAAACGTGCTTCTGCTCAGGCTGTTGAAGGGCCATCGGACATGTCAGTGTTTGGCCGGGACCTGCAGAGGCTCCTGGTATCCTTCCTGCCTGGCCTTGGCCAGCGGTGCAGGTGTCACCCAGGGCCACTGTCTGGCTAACTGGCCTGGCCTCCGGGCCCTGGCTCGGGCTGGGAGCACACACTCAGGACCTCTGTGCTGGCATGGTTGTTCCGATCTGCCCCAGGGCTTTGGCACAGCACTCGGGGGCTCTGGGGGTGGCATCATCTCTGCTTCTCACCCCCCCGTAGTTTACATTCCTGACTTCTGAATAGAGCACAGCTGAGCCCCCGACAGCCTCTATGTCCAGATACTCCCAGGCGGACAGCCTCCTGGCAAAGGCAGCTTCAAGTCGTAACCAACCCTCCTGCCCGCCTAGTCCCAGTAGCTGCTGAGGCCTTTGGGTCCAGGCTGTAGGTTCATCCCTCAGCTGAAAGCCCCTGAAGGCAGCTCAGAGGCAGGTGTGCGAAAGCCGTTTGCTGTGTGGCCCCTCTCTGGGCCTTCCTGTTCTGCAGGCCTTCCCTGGTGAGTGTGGCAGGAGGACTCCAGGGTGGAGGAGGAACCTGAAAGGTCTCCTAGTCTAGTCCCTGCCTCTGGACCAGCTTGTGTCCAGCCCCACGCATTCCTCTACAGGTGAACTTCAGAACGGCCCGGCGTCAGCGTCAGAAAATCCTGTCTGCAATTCATTGTAAATCAGCCTTCAGGAGAGAAGCTGCCCCGACTTCTGTGCCTCCCCAGAGGGGATTGATATCTGGGTCTCTGTGGTTCCTCCACAACCAAACAGGTCCAATATCCCAGTCATTTATTCTTACGCTGAGGGGTATGTTGGGGCCTGAAACCACATCCTCTCCCCACCTCCGCTCACCCCTCTGGCTCAGGCCCCGGATGGGCTGCGCTTCCTGAGCTGCTAGTGGAAGGAGCATTTCTCCTGGCCCGGGCCAGCACCCTGGGCCTCTCCCGAGCCCCTCCCTGGCTCCAGGAGCACATCTGCTCTCCATCCTGCTGTCGCAGCTGGACTGAGGGCAGAGCCTGTAGGTGCAGAGGCCCTGAGGGCTGCAGCCACTCTCCCTGGGGCTTGTGGGAGCGGGAGCAGCTCCTGACAGGCTTGCTCAGGGGGTTCTGCATGTGCACTTTTGTTTACTGAAAGAGAGGAGAGGGAGGGCCACAGCCGTGTGCTCTGGCCTTTCTGCCCACCGCCCACCCCCTGCCACCAGTAGTGCCCACTGAGGCCTGCCAGTGCAGGCCGATGCCTTCTTTACTGTACTTCTACCTGTTTTTGAGGGTAGTAGCCAGGGGTCAGGAGGGGCCGATAGAGGTCCACTCTGTAGCCTGTACTGGGCAGGCATGGGTGTGAGCCGTGGCTCATGAGCCCCCATGGGTCTCCCCCAAACCACACTCTTTGGAAAAACTAGGCTTCCCGGCCACATTCTGCCTGTCCATCTCTCTCCAGAGTGAGAGCAAGAACACCATCCAGTACCCACAACCATGTGGCCCCTGTGCTCTTGCTTTGGGGAACAGCCCTCCTGTGAGGGCTGCTGGGCTTTAGCCCATCACCTGCTTTCAGGGACAAGAGCCTCCATTTACCCTCTGATAAGTGACCAGGCCGAGGGAGTAGCTCTGGGGCAACCTTAGTGGCCTAATGCCATTGGCTCCTGTAGACCTGGGCAGCCTGGGTCCCAAAGGGGGAGCCAGCTTCCAGGGAGGGAGGATGGGAAATAGGCAGGGGCTGCCTTGCCTGCCTCCGGAAGGAGGGTGGCATTCCATGTCTTCTGCTTATGAAGCGCCTTTCTTGAAGTTCGGCAATAAATCCCTTTTTATGGAACTTTTCTGCCGCAAGCCTGTTTGTTGGTGTGGGACCAGCTCCAGGGCTGACCTCAAGGGAGCAGGGGTAGGAGGTTGGCCGGTGGCCTCGCCGGTCCTCCGAACCCCGTGCTAGGGCATCCTTCCCATAGGCCGGGCGGGGGCGTCGCCCTCCACCGTGCTCCCCCTTTGCTGTGTCACCACACATTTATACAGGCTGGGGCTGTCATAGGAACAATGGTTTTCAATTTTTAAAAGCTTTATTTGGAAATTTCAAACAGAAAGGTTGCAAGAGTAAGAATAGCACATAGAACACCATTACACTCATACCCCGACTGACTCATTGGTTTATTTTTTGAGCCTTTCACTCTTTAACATATGTACACACAATTTTTTTCTGAATCATTGGAGAATTATCATGGTCCCTTACCCCTGAATACTTCACTGTGTATTTCCTAAAAATAAGTGTATTCTCTTATGTAACCATAGTATAGTTATCAATTTCAGAAAACTCAACGCCAGTGTGATAGTTACTATTCATATAACAATTTTGTCATATGACCAAATAATGTCCTGTATCATACTTTTCCTCTAGGGTAGGGTTGGATATTGCTAATGCATACATGTCTCTTTAGTCTCCTTTAATCTGAAATGTTTCCACAGCTTTTATCTTTCATGACATGGACATTTTTGAAGGACACAGTCCCTCCCCTTATTTTTTTTAATCCTCACCAGAGGATATGCTTTTTATGATTTTAGAGCGAGGAAGAAAGAGAGAGAGAGAGAGAAACACTGATGGAGAGAAACATCCATTGGTTGCCTCCCCACATGTGCCCTGACTGGGAATCGAACCTGCAATCTTTTGGTGTATGAAGGACACTCCAATCAACTGAGCCACCCGGTCAGGCCCCCACCTCCCTTTTTAATAGGACATTCCTCACTTGGGGTTTGTCTGAGTTTCCTCATAATTAGATTGAGGGTATGGATTCAGAAAACTGCACAGGTGCTCCTACGTCCTTCTCAGGGCATCACATCTGAGACACATGCATCCATCGGCCCTTCGTTGATGATGTTAATTTTGATCACCTGGTCAAGGTGTCTGATTTCTCTACTGGAGAGTTATAACTGTTCTCTTGTAACTAATAAACAATCTGGGAGACATTTTAAGACCATGCACAAATATGTTGCATCTCAGCAAATACTAGTATACCCCGTACATTTAGCCTCCATCGAGAATGCTTGTTTGCACAGGTGTTTCCCATGATGGTTCAAAATGATTCCAACTGTCATTTTAACTCGGAACCTCGTTGTGGTTAGGGCTGAGCCTGGGCCCCACCTTAGGCCAATGGTACCCCTAATACATCTCAGCAGGACCCCAGGACTTCACTGAGTGTTCTTTGGCTCCAAGTCAAGCTGCTAAAGTTCATGTTCCACCCAGGGACTTCGGTGAGTCTCAGACTCAGGGAGGGTCTCAGTTTCCTTACCCACGAAAGGGCAATGGCAATGCTCCCCACTCCCCTGTGTGGGAAAGCACCACTGTGCTCCCCAAAGGCTGCCTCCCTTGCTCCTCTGAGGGCTGCTGGGCAGTCCCGGTGGCCAACATAACAGGAAGCACCTGATCCGGGCCTGTCACCTAGAGCTATGCCCCTCGTGTCCCTCCTGAATTCCCTGCCACTGGCCTGACCTGACAGTCATACTGAGCAAGTGGCCTGCAGAAGCTGGGAGACCCCCAAGCAAATCACTTCACTTTCATGGCCCCTTATCTGTGAGGAGGAACCAAGGTGAGGGAGAGGAGTCCCTTTAGTGATGGGGGTGTTCCTCTCACCCTGGCCCAGAAAGAAGGCCCCTCTGGTGAACCGCCTTAAAGGGGACAGCTGCCTGGAAGGTGTCAGTGGCCAGCCACAGGGCGAGAAAGGATGTGGTGAAACTTGCTTTCCCTCTCGGGTCCTGGCCTGGGGCCACCATCAACTGCTTTCTGCTTCTTCTCTGGAGAGTCTGTCACCCGAAGTCCTGTGGGCAGTTACGGTCCACGGTCAGATGGACACTCAGCTCAGGTGACTTCTGGCAGGCTTGGGGGAGCCCCACCTCTCCTGGCGCCTGGAGGATCCCCCGGGGCTGGCCTGGCTCTCTACCAGCCAGCTGTGGCCCAAGAGCGAGGCTCTGGAGGCCCTTCCCTTATAAGGACAACAACTGAGCTGTGATGAAACTTCTCTGCAGCCCAGCTGGGTGGGCGGGGAAGGGAAATGACAGGCTCCAAAGGCTACAGCTGAGCACTTGCGCCTCCACAGGAACTCGCCCATGAGCCTCCCCTCTCCCCTTCCTGTGTCTGTGCTGTGCAGATCGGGGCTTTCCAGTGGGTCTCACTCATAGAGGGCAGGAGGAGCCAGAGCCTGGGAGGCCAGGGGGCGCGGCCCGAAGAAGGGAAGATGCAGAAACTGAGGCCTGGAGAGGGGACAGGACCCTTCCAGCAGGAAACACACAGTCTGGACTCTGAGCTGTAGCCTGTCTAGCTCCAGCCCCGCCCTCAGACCATCTAAGGGCCCGATGAGGAGGCGGGAGGAGGCTCTTAGACAAGTCCCCCTCTCCCTTTGGACATCTAGGGTCAAATCATAAAGGGATGGAGGCATGGGTGGGGCTGTCGACTGCTCTGTTACCCTATCCTCATCCCCCCATTGCTGTGTGCCTAGTAAATTGCCATCACCAACAAAATTCACCAACCCACTCTCCATCTGAGAAACTAATCATGGGCTCACAGGATATCAGCACTGATAAGGATCTTTAAGCCCATCTAATCCCTCCAGGATTCAGAGAGGAGGAAGTAACAGCTCAAGGGAAGATTCGAACTTGCCCATCTGTATTGTAAAATTAAAAAACATTACATATATATGTTATATATACAAATTTTATATATATATATATATATATATATATATATATATATAAACACAAGTTATATATAAATTATATATGTATAAATAAGTTTGGGGGGGCTTTTCCTTGGTTTCCTATTAAAAATTTCTTTTTAAGAAATCCCAACTTGCCTGGCCGGCATGGCTCAGTGTTTGAGCGTCAACCTGTGAACCAGGAGTCACGGTTCGAATCCTGTTTAGGGCACAGGCCCAGGTTTCGGGCTCTATCCCCACAATGTGGGGCATGCAGGAGGCAGCTGATCAATGATTCTCCCTCATCATTGATGTTTCTCTCTCTCTCTCCTCCCTTCCTCTCTGAAATCAATAACAGATTTTTAAAAAAGGAAACATCAATTAAAAATAAAATTCCAACTTGTTAGCTGAATCAAAGGACAAGGACTGTTCCACACCCAGAGCAGGTTAGCTCTGGGGATTGGTGGTTCCCTGGAGATCACGTCTGGAGAGTGAGGTGAGGCCAGTCCCCAAGGGAGAGGGAGAACCAAGCGTGGCAGATGGACAACCAGTCTCCGACACCGCCGTGCACAAGCTGCGCAGCCTCTCCGCATTTCC